TGACATCTGCCTTGGAGCTGTTCTCAGGAGCCTCCTGCTTGCTATGCAAGAGAGGAAAAGGGGAGGCATGTTAAAGTCAGATGCCCCACTCCATCGAGCCCCCCCTCTCCCTATGCTGTCACAGCTATAGTCTTGTGTCTGGACTTCCTGGCCTACTTACAAGGGCAAGGTACTTGAAGTGAAGCCAATACACATCTGACTGCCCCTCTCTCTAACACACTCATACAGTGTGTGCATCTGCTGGCCGGTCTCTTGTCCAATTGGGCACTGTGCAGCTGTGGATGCACCATTCTGTGGAGAGAATGATGCAGGATAACGTGGGTTCATCATCATGTTCCTCTTCTGCAAAGAAGTGTTTGCAGCCATTGCCATGTGTCTGTTATGGGTCCTCCCTCGGCCCAGTCCCTGCGGCCTTGTAGAGTGTGAGGCTACATTAACCATGTGTTAATCCCCAAGGGCTCAGCCAAGTGCTAGTTCATCATTTAATAGCAAGACATCCCCTGGGAAATAGTCCACCCTCTGACTCCTCCAAGCTTCACAATCATCATTGCTCTGTGTAGTATTAAACTGTTCAAAATTGTTTAAAACGTATACTGTATATGTATATACTATCTTTTGTCTGCTGGAAAAAAATACCGCCTTCCCTTAATTCTTATGGGGAAATTGGATTCACTTAACATTACTTTGCTTTAAGTAGCATTTCTCACAACATTAAATGAGGAGTTAACTGTATTAACTACACAATTTAAACAGCTTCGTGTGCAAGTGAGAGTGCTTTGTGTAATAACCTCTGATTCGAGTTCCTTCTGAAGTAAAGTTTTGTTGTTTTTTATAATTCAATGCCCAGTCCTGCAAACTCTCCTTCATGTAAGCAGTTCTACTGATTTCAGTAGAACTACATGTATGAATATGGATTACTCAATTGAGTAAAGGTTGCAGGTGTTGGGTGTTCACTTTACAGATTCTTACGGCAGAGAATGTCTTAACTATGTTCTGGACAATGCCATGAAAATTTATGGCCCTACATAAATATTTTACAATAAGGATGTGAGTGGCATTATATCTCTGGCAAAAGCAAGTTTGAACTCAGAAAGGATGACCATATTGTTTTTAGTGTAGCAAAAGCTAGTTGTACTAAATGACATCATAACCAAACCATTTGAGCATGATCTTGCATTGTCCTGCTTCTTGCAATGCTCTAGCCTACTCAATGTTTAACATAGAAAGGAATATTACACTGAGATGACATAATGCTGAATGCCTTTTGTGTTGATAGGTATCCATGAATGAGTTGATGTTCGCTCCTGGATCCAGATGACTTGCAATTTAGTTCAGAAAGGTATGTTTGTATGCATCATAACACTAGTATGTAACGCTGATAAAGTGAAGCGGGAATTAAAATATGCAATTTAAATTCTTTATCTTCAAATGTAAATGCCAAGGAATCCATAACTTAGCCAGTGGGGAATATGATTTATTTGTTAACTGTGTTGCTTTACTGCAATTAGCATGTACAACATCACTCATTACCTTGCATCTTTGGAGATACAGTATGTCAGTTTAGCCACAGATCTTGGGTCCCTTGGGCACCAAGGATGTGCCATCACAAATTTAGGTGTAGATCATGGTTTACACCAATTATTGCATACATAAAACTTGTCTTGGAGTCTGTTCATAAACCAGTCTTTGACTTCATCTGTTTTTTTATATAAACATGCCTGGAATATAATCTTGAATGATGGAGGGTCTAGTTCTTAAATACTGCTAGGTCTGTGAATGTGCCTGTACCTAATGGTGACATCAACTTAGACTTCCCATCTATATAAAATGACCTAATTGCAAGAAACCAAGGGAGTTGCATGCAGTGGTGTTTCAAGGGGAAAAAGGAATCTTTCAGATTGTGTTCAAGGACCAAAGGGGGAGAAGGGAATGCAGAAGATATTTAATTGGATTCCAGTAAAAGGCTGATCGTATGTCTGGGCAATCTTGTTCTCCAAATCTTGTTTACTATTTATCTATATCAGGGCTACTCAACTTTGGAAGCCCCAGGGGCCACAATGATACTCACAGCACATACTGAAGGCCACAACTGAAGTGTGGTTGCATATACATGCAAATAGCTTCTTTCACACTGACGGCATGAATACAAAGATTAAGGCAAGACTACACAACACACAGGCCCCATTTAAGTGAGTTCTGCTGACATTAACAAAATGCAATATTTACCTGATTTCCACCCATAGACAGCACTTTTAGTGAGCAATTAAACTACTAAGAACTTAACTACTAAAACGCATATCAACAGAAGACCATTGTATTGACTACTTTTTTGTTTTGGCTCCCACATGTTGAGCCCCATGTAAACCCAAACCGAACCACGGGCCGCAAACAAATGGGCCCATGGGCCACATGTTGAGTAGCCCTGATTTATATTAGCTTTTTGCCTGGGAGCCTCCCTTGTGCTAGATGCTGCACTAAACCAGAACAAAAAGACCATCCCTGTCCCAGAGAGCTTACAGTCTAAGTAAACACTAAAAACTTTATTCAAGTTGGCTTGAATATGAAAAAAGACAGGTGAGTTTCAGAGTTGAAGGCCTATATAACCAAAGGAAGTTGACAAGTGATCACTTGTCAGCTATCTAGTGCAATATTATGCTTGGTTATGTTGCTAGACCTGGGTTCATTGAGCATTCTTTCATAATCTAAAAGACAGAGTAAACAGCATGTTATTGAATATCCACTGATACTAACTAGGAAAAGTTACTGATATTATTAAGAAAAGAAATAATATAGACTGACCTATACAGATTAGGAACATGGATGAAAATTACAAAATTAGAATAAACTTGGGGAAAATGCAAATTAATATCAGGAGTAAAACAATGCCAAACATGTATCTACCTATTGGAGAGAGAAACTTGTAAAACAGTAATGTTGAAAAAAAAAATTAATATATGCGCACATGCATGCATGCATAAAATGTAAAAGATGGTGAAAGTGCATAGCAAACGAGGCATGTTATATACTATTAGCCTCTTTTCAACTCTGAAAGTGAGAGGCCAAAAGAAACTCTCAACTAACTTTTTTTTTTTAGGAGAGTCTTTACACAATTTATTAACCTACTACTATTCTCTCTAAAAGAAGCTTGGTAAGTGGGGGGGCGACAAATTAAATAGTATTTATGGTTTTAAAAAGACTTGTTTGTCCCTTAGATGTCGTCTGTTACTGAAAATGGAGATGCCCCTGCTGGAAAACAAAATGAGGAGAAAACCTATAAAAAGGTAAATGTGACCAGTAACCTTCCTTTTCTAAGGTTTTTTTCCTCTTGTATCCATTTAGTGTAGAGCAGGCATGTCCAAAGTCCGGCCCGCAGGCCAATTGCGGTCCGTGTTCCGGTTTAATACGTCCCCCCAGGTAATTTGGCAATATCTATCTTTTATGGCCCCCAACGAATCCGTATGTATTGAGATGAATACATTGTAAAATCTCAGTTAATGTCAGTTGGTCTAAATCAGTTATAAATATATTTGACACAACATGTATACTTGGTGTTATGTTCCTGTTCATATTTTTTGAACTTAAAAGTTGACAGACAACCTTTATTACCAATAATATGTAATGTACTTTACAATGTTCCTGACATATATTTCAGCTTCCTGGATTTTTTTTTTCATCTGGTCTTCAGATATGAAAGGCAGAGTGATTTAACACCTGTTTAGATTTGTCATCCATGTGACGAAATGAAAAGTATGCCGCTTGCAATAAACTTTGCATAAAATAGTTAATTTGCATTTAATTTTAATGGTTCAAAGAATGTCAGGCAAAATGGTCGGCCCTCACGCATGTTCACTTCATCAAATTTGGCCCTCTTTGAAAAAAGTTTGGACACTCCTGGTGTAGAGTATCAGTGCTACAGCTTGTCTTCTAGAAACTTAAGAAAAAAAGTGGTGAGCAGCCCGTGGGCCACATGCGGCCCATGAGATATTTTCTTTGACTGTTGCCCACAATCAGGGTTACCAGATTCAGCTGATTTCCATCCAAGTCTTCCCACCGGAATTACTAACGTGACACACAGGTAAAGCAAGGGCACGTGAAGTGTGATGCTTGCTGATTGCACAGAATACTCACTCTGCAAGCTATCCACTTCCTCTGCATCCAATCCGTGCTGCAACGATTAAATTGGCACAAAAAACAATAGTAAGTACACGAGCACAGTTGGCAAAACTATCCTATCCCAGTAGACCAGTGAGGGGCAACCGAAGCTAGTGAGTGGGCTGCATGAGCGGCCCTCCATCTCAGTGGGCTGCACGATTGTTGTACTCAAGACCATCTCTTGGGATAGGGTTGTCTTGCTAACTGCGCTTGTGTACGTAGAATCTGCGGGGCTTTGCCGATTGAGTTGTAGTCAGTGCTTTGATTGGATGCAGAGGGAGTGCAGGGCTGTCACAATGTGTACAACCATCCCTCCCCCTCCCACTTCACATCTCGTTGCTTTTGTAATAGGAAAAAACTACATGGGCGAAAACCAGCGGAATCTGGCAACCTTGTGAATAGGCGATGGTAAACAAAATGTCTCGTGGGCCACACGTAGCACCCCAAAGGGCCCCCTGCCGCCCTTGGGACACAGGTTGCCCATCACTGCAGTAGACCATGTTGGTTACGACAGTCTTGCAGAGCACTGAGATGGAGAGCTGCTCGAGTAGCCTGCTCACTAGCCTAGATTGCACACTGCTGGTCTAGAATGTATTTTCTTGGACATTTCTCTGTGTGCATAGGAGTTTAACACTTGAGAATTCCTTCTACGCCTTAAAAGTAGAAGAAAATGGATCTTCCTCTCCCTGAACTTTGCACTTGTAAGTCAAACATTCATGAGGTTAGGCCTTTGGATGCTATTCACTTCAGTCCTTTCTCTTTTGTAACAGTATACCAAGATCGATACCCAGTGTGATTACTCAGTATTAACTTTTTAAAATACACACCTTGATATAGCATGGGTAATTCTTAGCTCCTAGCAACAGAGATATTTCTGTTGCTAAAAACACTATTGTCAGAGAATCTAGTACAGTAAGTTCTCAAATGCTTCAAATGATTTTTGCTGTCTCTCTTGACTACAAATTAACTTTCCTTCATATTTTGTGTGGTTTTTGTTTTGTATGGGTTTTTAGGTAATTTTGTTTAATAGATAACTGAATGCCTTTTATTTATTTCTTACGGCAGTAATCTCTATAGTAATTGTATGTGTGTCAGAGTGGAACAGAGACTGTTTGGGTGCTATATGGTAACTTTCTTGTTGCTGCTGCTTCCTCTTCTTGATTTTATGTGGGTGACACTGAGAGTCTCTTATTGACAATGATAGTACCCACAATAAGCTTTTTAAAATTAAAAATGAAATACAAATGCAGGAAAAAAAATCAATATCTTAAGAGAACAAATTCTTGGCTGCTGAAGTCTGTTCTCTCCTTTTGGTTACTGGCACTGCTTCTTGCAGTACGGACGTTCCCTTTGTTATGTGTTTGTACAACACATAGTACAGCTGAGCTCTGGCCTGTAAGTTCTTGCATTACCAATAATAAATGATCATTTTTCCATGTGTGCAGTTTTGATATAACTCTGTTGGTAAAGTCCAGGAGGAATTTAAACATTCCATTCTAATTCTTCCTTTCCTTGGCAGCCATGCTCACAGCATGTGGGTGGCTTAAAATTCCAGACCCTTTTCGTTCCTCAAAGCAGCAGGAAGTTGTTGGTTGGTTTTTTAATTTTTTTTTAAACCGGGTTTATCGTTGTGACTTTTTTTTGTTGTAGTTTGTGTCAGTCTCCCTCAGGGATATAACAAAAGGCTGGATTCATTGCTCCAGGAAACTAAGAGAATCTTTCCCTGTCCCCAACCCCTAAATTAGCCACTGTTTCTTGTCACAGCACCAGTCCCATAATGCTTTGCAGTTCTTTGTAGCTGATTTTTAATTATAGGAAATGCCCTGAGATTGACAAGTTGTATATTCTAAAACTATTTTTTTAAAGTGTGTTTATATACAATATCAGATGGATCCAGTTTTGTTGGTAAATCAAGTATGCTATCCTAGTGCAAAATGACACTAGTCGTGTCTGGAAAAATCTCCAGTGAAGCAGTAAAAGAGCATTACAGCATCAGCAGATCATTGTTGCTTTTTTTTTAAGGAAGAACTGAGAGCTGACTTAAGTTTTTGCTGTCAGTATGTTCGTAGCTAGGAAAAGTACAGAGATTACAAGTATTTTTGTGAGTCAGTACCTTTATACGGACTGCCCAACGCACTAGTTATTCTGCAGGAATTTCTTCATATTAATTTGAGGAAAGTCAGAGTGGTTGAGGTTTTAGTTGCTTAATGTTGTGGGATTTGGGGTCAAAATCCTGTTCTGGACAGGTAAGAGTTTGTGCTTTTTCCCCTTAATATAGTTAACAGGCCAGATTTGCTCCAGATTGATGACGGTTAACAAGAATAAGTCTTCCTAGAGCTAGACTGCAGCAGTGGAAGCTTCTTGCAATCCCTGTTCCTTCACAGGCCCAGAGCTGGAGGCACATTTTCAAAAGTGGGCCCAGAGATGTGCTAATTCAGTGACTCTCCCTGGCCGTGTTTGGCTGGGCTCCTGTACAGCCTCAGCAGGATTTCAAAGATGTTCTCTCCCTGAGTGACACACCCACCCCACAAAACACAATTGTCCCTGTGTTTGGGGTAACTCAGGCCCAGTAGTAGCAATTTATGGAACTTTACTATAGCACTGATTAAGTAAAATACATAAGCATGTGCTTAGGTGCTTTCCTGAATCCAGACCTGAAATGGCTTTGTAGGAGTCTAATTTGCAGGCAGATTCCTTGCAGATACATACAACAACACTTAAAGATTTAGCAATGTTTACGTGACAAAAATCAAATCATATCTTTAGGGCCACATTCAGTTCTGGTACAACTTTACTGAAGTCCAATGGAGTTGCACCTGCTTTACACAAGGGCTGAATTTATTTAGCGCATAATATTTAAAAAGCAAAACTATTTATAAGATGCACAAAAAAGGCTTGTGCATTAAAGGATGTATTTTGCATCTTAATAGCTTATTTCCTGTGTGTGTTCATCTCTCATAGTAATATTCCATGACTATAGTGTTTGTAGAGGTTTAGTAATATTTATAAATACATACCAAAAAGGAATATGTTACAATGAAAATAGCGCATAATATTTAAAAAGCAAAACTATTTATAAGATGCACAAAAAAGGCTTGTGCATTAAAGGATGTATTTTGCATCTTAATAGCTTATTTCCTGTGTGTGTTCATCTCTCATAGTAATATTCCATGACTATAGTGTTTGTAGAGGTTTAGTAATATTTATAAATACATACCAAAAAGGAATATGTTACAATGAAAATTTCTACTTGACCCCCCCCCCCCCCCCCCCCCGGTGAAATGAAGTCATATAAATGAGCTATAGCAGTATATTCCATGTGCCATGCCGAGAGAGAAATAGATTTTAATAAACTTCTATATTTTAAGCAACTCATTTAACTGCTTTAAATAATATACATACATCTTGATTGGTTTTGCTGAGTTGATGAAGATTCTAGGTATCACCTAAGGAGTCTAATCTCTCTAATCAAGTAATTGGGTTAAAGAGATACAGAAACTTCACAGATACACCCAACACAGTTTTTTTACATTGATGTGAATGGGTGGCAGGCCTGCCAATCAGAGGGGACAAAGGAGTCAATTGCCCTGATGATTCTAAAGGGTCCGGGGATTCGCGCAGCACCACGCAGCATGCTCAGGGTGGCTTTGAGGGCCAGAGAGGGGCTGACACACTGCAGTCTGGGCAGCGCTGAGGCCCCTCCCCTTGCCCAGGGGCCTGGTTTGGCTGTAGGCTCCCCTGGTAGGTGGACTTCTACTCAGGTGGCTAACCAGTGCTGTTGTCCATGCCACTGTGTCCACAGTGCTGGGTTTTTTTGTGCCGTAGCTGGAGCAAAACGGCATTTGTGTGTCTGCCGAGGTTGGGAAGCATGATCTCAGCTGCAGTGTAGACCTATGCCTTCACAGACGAGTGGCATATATTGGAACTTCTGTTGGGTATCTCATGCAGTCTTCTGGGTGCCTGAGAGGTTCACTTGCCTGAAACACCCCACTGAAGTTACAGGCTCAGCTGATAGTCTCCAAGGATGCTGCAACCTCTGCTGTGGCTCCCATGCAAGTTACAACAGGCAGTAGAGGGGGCTGCATGCCCTGATTAGGGCATAGAACTTCTGCAGGTTCCCAGCCACAGA